TACCCTTAAAAAAAACCAAACAAACAAAAAACACCTTTACTTGAGAGACATTATGGCAATAAATGGTATGTCATAACAACAAGTACATATTTAGAAGACCAGGATGGCAAGCACTCAAAGCGTAACCCCTCTATTATACATCGCCATCCTCAGTGTAGCCGCCTGGCTCACGTAAAAAGGTTTTGATGACAAGAAATCATAAGGGGCCTGCCTGTGCTATTGAAAGGAGGCCAGTGAAATGCAAGCGAGGAGACCTCAAGCCATCTTGGGTCCAATCCTGTTCTGAACTCTGTATCTTTCTGGAGCTGAGCTGCTACTGGTAGAGGTGGGCTCCTTTCTGTGGATCTCTGCCTGCCACATGACTTCACTGAGTTCAGGATGAGGGGAAAAAATCTAACTCACTGAGAGGTTCATCCTTACTATATTATGCTAGAGTTTAGTACCTCTCCCTTGAGGTGTTAATATGTGATTGTTGGAGAAGGACACATAGGCTTGATGTCCATGGGACCCATTAAAGATGATGGACTAGTGAATGTGACTTTGAAAGATCACCCTTCACCATCAGATAATTAGCCCTTCTCTCTTCCTCTGTCCCTCTCTCCTCCACTCCCTCCCTCTTCCTCAGTCTTTTTCCCCCTCTTCCCTTCCCCTTTCTCCTTCTCTTCCTCCCTCCCTCTTATAAAAACTGGGTTTAGAATATCTCCCTGGTAGATAGTCTGGTTAATTCTGTGCATTTCCTTTCCCAGATCTGGAATCAGTCATTTCTCTAAGGAGCCTGATTGCTTTCAAGGGGAAGTGCTTTTTAGACACTGTGCTCTCCCATGTAAAAAAATATAAGGCCAAACAAACTCTATGATAGCGAACAAAGTATTAGATGAGAGAAACCAACCAGAGTTAAGATATCGCTGGCTAGTACAAGTCTAGCACTTAGTAATAATTTTACTGACATTAAGTAAAATCAGTATATTTCCAAATCCCAGATGATGCTGATACCTGCCGCCATCTCTTGGCTCCTGTCCTAAACTGCTTCAAGTTGAAGGCTGTGATATTCTGACACCTTGTGGTGGTTTTTATTTTTGTACACAGAAACAAAAAAAAAAA